ACCGCCGCTTAAGCCACGTTCAGTATAGTCACCTCGGTTATTTTAGTGCACCAGAGGCAAAAGGATATGTTGATTACGTCGGTGAGACCTATTTATACAAAAATGAGAAATATGTATACGTCCACCAGTAGCTATATAATTTCGGTTTGCGTCTATTGAGATCAATTGCAAACGTATGTATTTGTTCAGTAGCTACTGAATATCTCCACAGGAAGTTTATGGTCCAACGATGCCACCTACTGGATGTCATCTGAGTAGCCAAACGGGTTAAAGTATTTTTCTACAACATGAGAATTATTGATAGCTTTGTGAAGCGGCGGGAAGAAGCAAAATGGCGACTCGCAATTATTTGAAGCTAAAGTTCAGGGGTGGTGAAGAGTACGACATAAACCTAATCAGATGGCTGACAGATACATTTCGTAGGTTGGACGTAGCGTGAAACCAGGAAATGAGTATCGCATCAGTATTATCTTTTCGTCTATTCTACATCGGTATCGATAAACCCTTTAACAACAGCATGACCCGTAGAATAGGCCCAGCCACCAGCCAGCCAGCCAGCCAGCCAGATAAGCGTAGTGGTCAGTAGATATGCTTGATCGTGATTTCGGGTGGCAGTGGTGTTCTGGTGCTGAACTTAAACCCATGACAACCAAGCATCGACTAGCAGAATACCGCGATTATCGTAGTTGTAGTCGAAGTGCCGGTACGACGATGGTTGTGGTATCAGAGGGTGGCAAGAGAAGTGTTCTAGGTTTCAGCCGCCGCCTCCTCGCAGGTTCCTGTTCTTGATGCGACCATTACTGCTATTGCTGCTGCTGGTGCTATAACGGCAACTTTCACGGCCAAGGTCACGCCGTGGGCCAGCCAGCGTTGCGTGATTCGCAGCTAGCTAGTCCCCACTGTCGGGCCCACTACCGGACAGATATCATCGCCAATGAACCCAGTGGCCGACTGAGGTCGACAGTTCGAGCTGCTAGACCGGCCTGGGCTGCAATTGGAAACGACCTGCTTTTCGCGTCGAAGGAAGGGTCGTTCGATTCTGCGAATTGTCTCTTGTTGATTGGCTACACAAAATGACACTGCTGTGGAAGCAAAGAGTTAAACATACTCTACGTTCATCGGCGCATCTCTCGTAAAGTCTTGGCCGTCTGCAAGCACACTCGTTTTGATGCAATCATAAAGGGCAGTATCCCAAGAACAGACAGGATGAATATGCCCATTTAGTATAGTCGTATACTACTGGTAAGCTATAGATTCCTACGAAAAGATTGTTCTTTTCTCTTCCCATTCGATTCGTTCTAAAAGGGCAAAGTTTTCGTACAGTGTCGAAACGTTCAGTATCAGAATACGATAGTGACAATGTTCTCTCGCGGATTATGTAAATCGCTTGATATATATACCGGTTTACTGTAACAAATCAGCATTAAGAAGACGCGGGCTCTGTTAAAAGGTAACAATGTATGAAGTGGCTTTCTCGTCCGTAATGTGCTAGCGGCGACATCATTTTTGGATTCAGTCATTTTGGATCAAAATATACGTCACCAGGCGAGCAATGCCCACCGGGTTGATTTGGTCGCCGGATTAATAAGCCGAAATCCCTAGCACATCCCTCGTGACCGAAGGGAACATGCAAGTTATCTGTCCGCTGTCAAGACGAATAATTGTCGATGTTTGTTGCCTCGGAAATGCGGTACGGGGTGGCCGCAAAGGCACATAATGCCACCATAAAACAAATATATCTAAATAAAAATGGTGCAACGAGTACGGGAAGCAATTCGGCCCAGCACCCAACGATACCTCAACTAAGTACTCAGTTAATCCGAATTTAACAGACGCTTCTATCTTCTTAACGAATATTTGGGAGAAGAAAATCCAACCAACGGGGATCTGCCCTCGTTCATAGTCGAACAAGGCTGTATAAGGGCTTAGCAATCGAAAAGAAGTAAATGTACGAAGCGTTCAGTGTCATGCTTCATTGTGGTATATACTTAATCGAGATAATTATCCTTTTAGCAGTCTAATAATACTTCATTTTATCCCCTAAAAACTCTGTAAACCCTATATTCGTTTCGAACTATCTACACTTCTACCGACAGCGTAGGATATTTTTGCAGAACTACTAAAATAAATCGATCCAAGTTGAATCCTAAAATTGATATTTGTTATAGTTGTCTATGGCCATCTAATTATTGTAGTGGTCTTTTTCTCCCCGTGCGCGATATGCATACTCGTCACATAAGTGTCTAAAATTTTTCCGTACTTTCTAGCGCTCTGTAATTGCCAACGCTCTGTAATCGCATGTTTGTCATGATTTGCCTGTCGTTATCATGGTACGTACAACGTTTATCTATATTTCTCGCCTGCAAGGACTGAACACATATCGTACGTTCTTGTACGACGCCGAAAGACGGCATACTTCGACGGCGGGGGAGGCTGTTGGTACTACTACCAATAATGAAACGCTTTAACGTGAAATGAGTTACTGCAAATGCTGGTGACGATGATACGAGTTGCCGTTGCCACGGCCTTTGGTACGTTTTCCGATCTGTGGCTTCGACTGCGTTGGTTATCGTTGCTGTCGGTAACACCGCTCTTCGTAGATCCTGGCGAAAGGCGGAAGTGATTGGTTGCACGCGGTGTTGCGACATTGCGTTAACAATAATAGACAGAGCGACGACACCGTCAGTAGCGGCGGTAGCAGTAGCAGTCTAAGTGACTACAGCATGCGTAGTAAAGCTGAGCCGCTATAGTCGTCGTCAACACGGATTCGAACGCGAAGAAGCACAGAAGATGCGTCGCCACAGCATCAGTCTCTTGTTCGCCACAATTGTCGCTGCTGCTTGCGACACAGCACGGGGCACGTCGAAGACGGCTGACGAAACAGACAGCGACCGGCTTGAGGGGTTATTCGAACAGAAAGTCGAAAGTGTTTCGGCTTTGACAAAACCGGCTAGTCCAAGATATATCCCGCAATAATGCTTGTATGATATCTTTGTCAGTCGTCAAGAGACGAACCTGGTACAGCTTACCAATAATAACCTTTTGATGGAACGAACGAACTTTTTTTTTGTCTGTTCTTATTATATTCGTTTAGACTAACAACGGCTGGAAGGATGAGAAATACCTAAGCAATTATATACCTATCGCCTATGATGCGTAGGACCAATGAATTCGTTTTTCGACTTTATACTCGATACGATCAGTCTGAGGTATCGACCTTATCTAAGCGACTTCCATTTTATTACTTCTAAAACGATTCAGAAGAATGACCTAAGTATCATTCGCGGTGCTGTTACATCCGATTGAACCTGTGCATCGACGACTGACCGTCAATATATTATTCAGTCTAAATTCCCGTTATGAATTTAGCTACCGCTTTTTAGCTGCAGTAACCGCTAGACCCACATCTCCTTCCGTCGCTGATTCCACATCGGTGAATGTTTCAATAATCCTGCGACACATTACCTACATCTGCACGAGATATATATATATATATATAAATAAGGTACTGCGGTATGCAATGATTCCTTGGGAACTCCGTTAAGTGAGGCGCACTGAGGTACTCCGTCGCGCGAACTAATTCGCCAGCCATGGTCGTACCGCTGTACTCTTATGCGTACTAACTGCCAACTAGCCCGTTTATCTTACCGTCGTATAAGTGAGCAAGACATAATACTTGGTCCAATGTCTCGAAGTCACTCGATGATAAGCACAAGGCTGTGACTGGGCCTTATGTGGTGTATGTGTAGCATGCGTTCGCATACTTCTCTTCTGAACTGACTAGGTCTATCCCATCTGCGTTCCATTCGATTGAATTTAGTCTGAGTTCAGTTTGGTTTAGCTTTCTCCGTTCATCGTAAAATCTTTCATTCGGGCACTGCAGATGGCACACACTATACAATTGGCCAGACTGGCAGACGACGAGGCGACCAGGCCAACTGGCTAGGTTATCGCACTCAGCTGGCGTCGTGGTAGACGCGGCGGCGGTGGCGGCGGCGGCGGCGGCGGCGACGGCAGCGGCAGCTAGATAGCAGAAAGCTACTAGCTTCTTTTAAGCTGAGTTACCCAACCGCGTCAAAGACCTTCTGACTATTCCCCCTGGTAAAAGCAGCTGGAGTGCTGTTACTTGTGGTAGTCTCCGTAGTGCGCAGACTGCGATCTTCAACCGCGGTCGCGATACAGCAGCCAGTAGCGTGTTCTGCACTGCCTATGGCCAGTCCTGCTGACTTCAGAGGGTTATATAGTCCGTTCGTGTTGTTTGCGTCCACTTTGTCCCTCCGTCCTTGTGCCTGTTTATCAGTGATCGAGGATAGCCGAACAGAAAATTTCAAGTTTCAAACTCTATTCGCGGCGGTAGCAGCAATAGGAAAAAGCAACGGCACTTCAACCAGTGTCGCAAGCGTCTGTCTTCTTCGGAGTTCCCGATCACGATATGGCTACAGTGGAAATTCTCTTTTAAGTTCCGTTAAAACAACAGCAGCTGCAGTCTATCTGTTGTAGTCGACTAGACAAATTCAAGAGACATAGAGCGTCAGCTGAAATGCGTCCAGATCGACAGCATAATGACGCTTTATTGTCCGGCGTCCCCTTCCTCTATCTCTCTTATCACTCGCATCATACGTGATGTGTATCTTATCATAGCTAGAGGTGATACACACGAGGATGACGATCGTACATTTTCCATAGTAGCAATTTTTTTTGTCACCAGACGCAACAACGAACAGGTTTCCTTGGCGTTCGTCGCGCTCTCGTAAATAATCGATGCTTTTTCGTTGCATATACAATAACGCATGAAACGTAACTTCTTTAACTACTTATCATTTGTTCAGACTTGACACTCTGCAACGTTACGCTCCAGATAACCGTCGACACGGCGACAGTTACGTCTGCGGTAATGTTTCACTTATCTACTAATACTGCGACACATGCATTATTCATGTACATATATATATATATATATATATTGTTTCTCACCGTTCGGAAATCATTATACAACTTACCTGGTTAATCCGCGTTGACAATGACGACCGTCGTTCGGAATGACAAAGCAGTTGGGTACAACTGTGTCAGTTGGTGGGTATATCGCTATATCGATAGATTTGGTACGGTCGTACGTATCTATATCCTTCGTGTCGTTGACGTAAAACGCTGCTAGCTCGAACGGAGCTGGCTACAAGGCCCACATATGCACTATTCGCTATGTCCACATCTAATTCGCATCCCGTTGCGCCAGCTGCACTGGCTGGGCTTGGAGTGAGAGCTCAGTCCACAAGGCAGTTGAAACACGGCCACCAAAATACTAAACACCACAGGACCAATCCGCAAGCCGACCCAACCGACCCCACACTCCAACACCTCTCTACTATTACAACAACTGTTACTTCACGTACTCGTACTTCTTCTTCTGTTTTGTTCGTAAGACTCAATCTAATGATCCCGAACAATCGCGGCAGGCGCAGCAACAATGGGGAAGGCTGATATAAGGAACGTTTGCGCTATAATTGTATGTGCGTGTAAGTAGATGTAGTCCGCCTGCGCGTAGATGCATCCTACCGATGTACGGCCGTATCGCGATGTCGTATCTTCTCGATGTGTATGTATTATCTATACAAATATGGAAGGTATAATCTTGCTTGCTAGTTGAGCTTAGCCGTCGTCGTCGTTCCAGCCTCCCCTAGAATGGTCCGTCGGTCCGTCCCGTCTGGTCCGACCGAAGAGACCGTTCTCTTTGGGGGAGCTGCAACTACCCCCTGTTTCTACTTCTGCTGCTGCTTAAGTTGTTGATGACGACGGAATTGCTGCTGTTGCTGTTGTTGATTTTGATTATGGCTATGATAGTGATGATGATGACAATACGGAGGGAGCACTGATCTGTCTTAGTGGCCTCGGTGTCCTCTCTCACTTCCCAGGAGGGCTAGCAGCAGAGCAATACCGAGAACGACACCACTGTATCCTGAGGTCGGAGGCTTTGACAGAAGGATGTGGAGCCAAGGAAATGGGTGAGACCAGGCGCCGTGCTCTCTCCACTCCCCGAGAACAAGAAGAAGAGATCGAAGCGTTCCCGGACGTCGGACAAAAGCAAAGCAGGCGCAACGGGCAACACCGCGCACCCCACGGGGATGGGGGGTGGGAGTGACGGCGACGGCAGGCTATGCAAGCTAGAAGGTGAGGGCATCAGACAAGACGGACGAGATGCTATGAGTAAGAACTGCAGCACAACCAAGTTCGAATGAATACAGCTGCAGACGACATACGATAATTCAAATTCTGGAGTGCGCCAAAAGATCAGCTTGCGTTCGCTTGCGAGTTATCACTGCTATCAATATGGCGGAGATCAACAACAAGTTGTGTAGTGTAGAATGAGGTTCGAAATGGTGGCGAAACTCCGTCTTCTGTCACTCAAGTAGATTTATTCCTTATAGATCCGCATTGCTACGGGCCATTTATAACAAACGGATACATACACGCACGAGAGCCCGCGGTCCGCTTTACACCAACTTCACGTTACCCTACTTTTCCTTTCTCGGTGTGTGGTAATACGTAGACATGCGCTGATGTATCGCTACTGTCCTTCTGTCGCTTTTGAATTCAGCGTTTCCTAGCGCCCCTCTCTCCAAAATCGTGCTACCCTAAACCCTACTGCCTATCATACAATGTTATAGTAGATTGTATTAATCCATGGAAACGTACACAAGTTGCGCGCCAACATCGGATAGACTAGTTGTAAAAGTACCTATGTCGCGCACTCTACGTTGTGTTTGGCGCCTCACTTCTACTAAAGTCGTCGTTATCCTTCGATTCTCTTTCCCGTTTCTTTTCTCTCTCTCTCCCTTTCTCTCTCTCTCTCTCGGTCTTTCTCCCTCTCTCTCTCTCTCGCGCCTCCTCCGCCCTTTTCTCTCTGGCTTTTTCCTTTTCTTTTCCTCTGCCTTTGTCTTCCTTTTGTCACACATTCAGAGCTTTAATCGTACGAACGAAAACCGCCATTGACACGAGCGAAAAATTTTCACCGCGTTCTATCTCGACCAGTCGACCACTGACGCTGTTGTGGCCACTGCTGATCGCTCATCACAGCCTACAACTACAACTACCGGTGCTGCTGTTCGCGCTGCGCGACAGCGGGTCGCAACGGATAGTAACAAACGGTGACTTCTTCGCACGGCTGCTGTTTAGCTAGCTGCTTTGGCGCTTTGCTACGGCCAATGCTAAGGCTGCCAGTGCTGATCGTACTGCTGCTGTCGCCACTGCTGTTTGCTGTAGGCCTACAACGGCCGCTAGTCCGCGGCCGCGGCCGCGGTTTGCTGTCGAGCACTGCGCGGTGGGGAAGGAGCGAAGTAAGAGGAAAGCGCATGGAGAGCCGCTACTGCGGTTCGATGTCGCCTTTGCCGCCAACAGCCTCCACCGTTCGCTGCTTCTCTCGCAGCCAGCAGCATTAGCGACAGCATTCGCCTCAGCAAAAACGCGGTAGTAGGACTACAGCAGTAGTAATAGCTATAGCGGAAAGCAAGGGGCTGATACACAGCTACGGATGCGCAAACCCTCTTCCCGATGGCGGCGGCGGCGGCGACGACGACAGCGGCGGCGGCGGCGGCGGCGCTGGAGGCAGCCAGACGAAAGTAATAACCGGATGCTTTTCAGCTGACGCGTGCAACGGCCGGACACCGCGCCGTTTCTGCTGCTATTTCGCGCATGCTGCCAGCTAGAACCCGCTAGGGCAAGCAAGTGTTTACTACGAACGATCACAACAACACATGCAAAGAAAAGCCACCGTGGACTCGTGGCGCCATCTATTATCTGTACGCTAAAGCTGCTTTGTAAATAGCCCGGCAACTTGATCCCAATTCAATGACGAGCTGGTCGAAATACGATTTTGAAATCTGAGGGGCGTGGATTCCCTGATAAATTTCGTGCATTTTGGGCCCATGGTATCATCTTCGATGGGTATGTGGTTCGTCATGCATCTTGATATGAGACTCACCAATGCTACAATAAGCAAAACGCGTTATTCCAGCTGCTGAAACCTAAACGATTGGACTACGCCGATGCAATAATATTCAAATGAATAGTGAGAAAAATTTCTAACTGTAATGTATTTTTTGTTAAATGCTTCGATTGTTATGGGAGTTTGGTAGGTCGACGGGTAGATACGCCGTAGTTACTGATTTGATATCGATGCGAAACTATGACAAACGCTCATTGCGTAATTAGATCAACAGTAGAAAGCAAATATATAACTAGTATTCTCTATAAAATATTCATCTGTAAGTTGTCGCTGTGATGAACACGACAAAGTCGAGTAACCGCTTCGATAGATTCGTGCTGAATCGTTGTCAATGGCAGTATTGCGTAAGTGCGCGAATGTATTCTTCTTTAAAGCATGTGTCTCCTGCTCGACTCTACCAGAAGCGTCAGACTTGCAACAAAACGACATATATTCTATATTATAGCGCGCACGCTCCGAATTTCATTAGATTCTCTCATAACAACTAGCGGATTCTCCTCCATAGGCAATTGATTCTGTGATGCTATATGCGTAAACATGGCAAAAAAAAAATACTGTAATAAAGAATATATTTTATTATCTACATGCGTACAGTTCATCTGATTCGTTTGCAGAATTTTTCTCTAGCATTGAGAACGCATTTCCAGGAAGGGTATTGCCCTTCCTAATGCCTCCTCGTACTGGTTAAATGCTTCCAACGATAGACGTAAATGAATGACATTTCTCGTTAAAGGCAAACCATCAGCTATCTTCCAATGCCGGACTCTTCAAAAATATTATATATGTCGACTGTTAATTACCTCAGACGATGTTGCGATGGAATCTTTTATCAATCATATCATTACATATATATATATATATATATACAACTGAATTAGACTTTGTATCCAATAAATCCAATGGAACCATAGCGGACGTCCTGTGCTAGTTACAGTTCATTTGTTCTTACCTTTTTAATTCGAAGCCAACATCAACGTGGCAGTGAAGAATGATATATCATTTATTTGTAAATCTATCGGCAATCTGTAACGGCGTCTCATTGTTGTTCATTTCCGCTGAAAACAGCCCACAGACTATGAATTGTTTAGGCCGATTTCGATGAGCCTACGCATGAACTCAGAAAATACATTAACAGCTCGTGTAAGTGTCATATAATATGTAAGTTATGTGACCATTATTGGTCAAATCGTACTGTCCTAAGTTATTTATCATGCTAATTACTATATCTATTATGAACCCTGGTCGTCCGAGCCGCCTTTAACCCTATTCATCATTATTAGGCCCAGTAGTTTCGATGGTAGAGATGTCTTTTGGGACGAAAAATGCCGCCATTCGGTAAACAGTGCTGACAAGGTGTCCCCACACGTATATACGAGTCGCGTGGCCGAATCTTCACGACTTCCGCAGTAGTATCCAAAGGAGTCCAAAGCTGCAAGCGTTAGAGCATTACAAGACAAGGATCTGCCAAGGACCAATAGTCTGGTCTGCCGAGCGCGTTCTCTCGAATATTGGCGAAGTGTGACGTGTCGCAGATCAAGCCACCCTACCTGTTTATTACCTGACATTACTGAAACTCGATGTTTCTCTATGCCTTCGTAGCATATTCAGGATCTCCATTTTCTAAAACATTTCCTTACCAGACAAGTTGTCTCTTTTTTTGCTTTTGTATAGCCTAACAAGGTAAATGCTTACATAGTTTATGTATATGCTTACTGACATAAGGCTCCAAACCTCAGAATGGTATATTCGTTTAGAAACCATGAGACTTTTGTAGAGGTAAGTAACTAACTTGAAATTTCTAATTACGAGACCAAAATATACCAACGGCTAGTAGTGCTGATCTAGTTAGCCAATGTTCATAAGGACCGAAATCAATCTTCGGCGCAGTTACAACGTTTAGATCTCTTGCAATGGTCAAGTTATTTCTGATGTTCGCGTAAGCTATCTGTTGGATGTAAAACTACTAAATAAAAGCGGGTTCTAGAAAGATATTCGATTGAGTGATAATCCTGTCGAAATAAATGGAATCATAGTTTATGTGATTTTGAAATCCATAATGGTCGGTCTGAAGGCATTGTCACATGCTGCTTCTTTTTGGACGATACTAGAGATCTGTCTGGATGCTAGATAAGCCACAAAATGACCAATTAAAGTTAAATAAGACAATTTGTGCAAACTTGAACTGTCATTTGATCGTAATGCATTGAGAGCTGAACAATCTTTTTTGTGAACTAAGATCGTAAGTCGAACTTGACCCATTTTGCCTTCTCCTGTAAACATGCTCAGTACGTGAAACAACCTTTCTGGGAGCATTCTCTGAAACCAATTCTTTCTAGCTAGTCCTTTTCTAACTAAAATCTCCGCCTCTAAACTGCTATCGAGTTTCTAATTCGCGGTCTCTTTCTGGTCAGCTGCATGTGAAATTAATTTCCATATTCGCATAGATAAATTAGCGTTTAAAAGCTAAATGTCAGCTGAACGGGGTAGAATTGATTTTACGTTTTGTGCCCGGAAATCCCGAATTTGGAAAGCATGGCTAACTACTAGCTGTAAGCCAAACATGTGAGCAAATATCCTTGATAAACTTTTGAACCCGAGACCGAATGAATAGAACGAAGGTGTTAGTTAGAAGGTGGATGTTTTTAGCACACAAATTTACGCTTTCCTTTGCACCAGCAGAGGGCCGTAGCTGCGAGCATCATAAAACAATGATAGTAATGATAGCTTTTACTCTTTGCGTACCAACTGCTCAGACTGTTGAAGCCGTCCCCGCAAACATTTTTGCGCAAGCGGCTACTGAGGTTATCAAATAATAAAATATAAAGTATACTATATATATCCTGTAGGTGCTGACTGGTGAAGTGGTAGATTCAATCTAAGAATAAATTTAAAAATCATTAAGAATAATCAGCAGATTTCAGACTATTACTTTAGCAATAAAATAGCTTTTCAGGGTTATTTTTATATTTCTACATTTTGGTTGGTATCGTCCATTTTGGAGCCACACTGAAACAGGGCTAAATCACAGTTATCCCTGTCATAAGAGATACATACTTACCGTGAACGGCATGCATTACCTGGCTTCACAACTAATTAAAACGTTCAATAGAAAACGTTCACTGAAAATTTCTGTCACGGAGATTCTGTAAAAAAATTAATTCACTAGTTTTAGGTTACAAAAGATTGCGATACGGTTAATAAATCGATCTAGGCCGTGCATCAGTCGCCTCGGGTAATGTCCGTGTGAAAGTACCGTGTCAGATTTTCTGTGATTTAGCAGTAAAGTGCCCTGTAAAAAAGACTGCTAATAAAAAGGTGATTGTTATTATTTGTATATTGCCCGAAATGGGTCCCACGCAGGGTGTCGACAAAGGTTTTCCTTAAATAGTCTGTATGTTATATGTATTAAATGTGTGCATCCTAAAAAATAAGAAGTACTGGGAATTCTATCAGGCTGTTACCAAGTACTCCGTATATACGAGGAAATGTTTATGGAACACGTAAAGTTCGACGACTTATATAGGCTAAGTGTGTATTAATCGCAAAAAACGTATTGTATATAACATTTTCATTTACCTGATTTCAATCGGCGAAACAGCTGATAAGATTTATAATAAGAATCACTTTTAGACAAATAGCTTCTTCAAAATCTCTTGTATGCCCGAATTCGTCCACGAGCAACGCCATTATAGCGTAAGAAAATGTTTTCAATGATCATTTAAGTTACAGGGAACGTTAGGTGTTCGGTGCCCCTAGGGGACGCGCTATAGATACGCGTGGAATGCCTCAGTTATATACACGCTATAATAAAACGTTGTTTTTAACTATATCCAC